TGCCTGGGATCTGTAACTGGAGACCAGCTCCATCACAGGCTTGGGTACAGACCAACAGTGTGATCCTGTCTAGGTTCTGAGGCTTCAAACTCCATCCACCCCAGTGGGCCTTTCCTGGGCTTCAACTCCCAAGAACTCAACTGCACTTCTTTATCTATCTCCTCTAGTTAACTCATGATGGTAGATGGCTCTCTCCTTGATGAAAGTGTCAATGCCGAAGTGATAAGGAAAGGAGAGACCCAACTCAATCCATTACTTCAAGAATCAGCTCAAATCCCATGTTTCTTAGGTCCACGAAATTGCTCCTCTCCTTTGGTTAAAGTGGTTTAGTGTGATCTCTCCCTTTATACTTCTCCAATGAGATCTATTTGGGAGTTAGAGCTTGTTCAAAGTCCTGTATTTCTTCACAGCACCAACCTTACAAAGGGTCTCCATAGACAGACTTCAAATCTGTGTTTTGGACTCCATTCATACCTGTATTTTGATCTGTCACACAAGGACTCTAGGCACTGGTAGAAGAGAGATGCCTCTACCCCATCAAGTGGGCTGGAGTCATTTGGGGGCTGGCGCTGCCGATGTTGCCCAGAGGATGATGTTGGCACAATCACAGTATTTGGATTCTTACCAGCCAGTAGGTCTTGATAAATAGCAGCCACACTTTCCAGGAACTCTGAAACAAACAGAAGGTTACTTAAAAACTCAAGGCTATAACCAGCAAAGCATCCTCCTGACCTACCAGACCTGGGATTAAACTGTCATTCCCTGCTCTGTGTTTTAGTGTTTTACATAGCACCAACGGGAAATAAGCACCACATTACAGTGTCCTGCATAGCCAGATCAGGTAATTATACAGGCACAAACAGCCATTTCCATATAAGTTGCTGGCTTCTTCCTGTCATAATGATTATGAGAGGCCACTTACTTACTCTGTTGAACAAGAATTCTTCTCAAGGAAACAGAGACTAGCTGGCACATGGATAAAACAGTGGAATGAGAAAGTTAACCTTGAACACAAAACTGGTTTGCAAAGCCTAAAAAGTTCTCCTTCTCCATCTCTTGCCACTGATTAAGAACTCATCCAAGTTAGGAACAAACTATATGGAACTGCAACAAGAGGACAGGGAGCAAGTTAGTCAGGGCTCCAGGCTGTATCCCAGCTTGCCTCTGTGCTGCTCCAAAGTAAATATAACGTGGGATCTAGAGGAAGGGCCAGGGCAGGTCAGGGCTAGAGTTGGCAGAAAGCCTCTCCCCAGGCTCCTCATACTACCCACTGTTTACTGCAAGAGTCTAATTTTAAACAAGTTTGTTTATGGATGTGGTCAGCAGTTTACAAATCTAGATTCCATTTGGAGTGGTTTGCATGTGTGTGGGTTGGTGGGAGAGCGTACGACGGGCTGCGTGTGTGCGTTGTGCCTGGCTGAGCAGGACAGGGACGGCCTGGTTGAGTGTGTGTACACAAGGGAGGGCTTGTGAGGATTCCAGTGGCATTTCAGCCCCGAGTGAATGGAAGTGTAACGCTGTGTGTGAGGCGGGTGGGGAGGGAAGGCAGGATGTCAGCGGGCCCTCAGGCTGTGCCGAGGCTCTGCAGCGCAGTGGAAATATTTGTTTTAGCAGAGAACAACTTTCCAAACACATTTGCTGTCCCTGGCTCAAGGAATTACAAGCCTGGTTCTGCCCAACCCAAACTCACTGAACTGTTTTTCTTTGACAAATTGTCATGGATAATGTTGTGATACGCACAGGGGACTTACGGGGAAGTCCATACAGACAAGTACTGAGAAAAAGAGACTTTTGTATTTGCTGACTTTTAACTGCTAGAAAGATGGGAGCTGACAGCTTGGATCAGATCATCAGGCCACCCAAGTCTACTCTCTGACCACAGACTATGCTCCACCGCAGCTTCTAGCCAGTGCCTCCCAGTATCCAAACCTGGCCCCTTTTGCCTGTTCGAGGCCAACTGTGAGCTACGTCCATCAGAGGGAGCTATTTCAGTGCGAGTGGACAGGAATCCCTGAGCTTATGTTGCTGTGTGCGGGGATCGAAGTGGCACCCCCGCAGTCCCCAGCGCTTGGGAGCATATCTTACTTTGATATTCCTTCTTTTTCTTCCCACTTGAGCAGTTCCCTGAATGAGATTCCATTTCCTCAACCACATTTCAGGGGGACAAACAGGCCAATGTATTTTAAAGCAGTCTCCCTGTACAGAACAAGCACCTGAATGCTCATCCAAGTTCCTCCCCCATGTCTCATGAACTTCAGTTTAGGGGATTTTTACAGCTGTATACGTGTGGGTGAGCATATGTAAATACACACAAACACACGAATTTGATTATGTGATTTATACCTTTCCTGTCAGGCATTTTAAAAGAAGTATCCCATCTAGTTAAACTCAAACAGGGGGACGGGGGTAGAATATGATGAATGACCAGCAACCTGAAGAAGGTACATGAGGATTAACTGTTCACTTCCAACTAGGGGCTCTCAAACCAAACCAGAGGGACTAGTGGCAGACCTGCAACTCCTTGACAAAAGGAGTGGAGGCTACAAGTTTATGTGATTTCAAGGGGAGGCTGGAGAAGTTCTTGGGAGCCGAGTCCACTGGGGGCCCTCACCCCATGGAAATGATACCCAGTTCAGAAACACTCTGAGCTGAAATCAGCTCATAGTTGGGTGAGCCTTAGGGGGAAGAACTGTTCAGTTCCTTTTCCTTTCAAGGCACCAGCTGGTTGGGCTTTTCTTACCCTATCTCCAGCAGGGACCAATATTACAGAGGCAGAAATGTTGTATTAAGGAAAGGAAAAAATAATGTTCTAGTAGAAGTTAATTGTTACGTGTTAACAAACTCTAGATAAAGCTGGGAATTCATGTCTCAAGGCTAAAAACAAATATGTGTGTAAATCATAACAGTTACAGGTATCTCGTTAGTCACAAAAATTTGGAACCTCCTTATGAAGCCTTCTAATCTCTTGGCATCTTGTCTGTAGATTGTATTATCTATATATTTTCTGTGAAAAACTATATCCTTACAAGTTTCAAAAAAGCACAGGGCTTGGGAAGCTGTAAAGATGTAATGCTATACTGGTGGGGGAATTCAGGAGCTTCCCAGCATTTACCTGAGTAGTAGAACTGGATCTGGAAAGCAAAGAGGAAATCAGAGAAAGACATCAGGCAATCCATAGCATCATCCATCAGCACAATCCTATGACAAGATGAGAGAAACAGTTTAGTATCTACCAAAGAACTAATGTCTGTAACCAGGAATCCCACATTTAGAGAAACTGCAGCTAGGGAGCTATGTGCAACTGAGGATTGCTACTGGCTCGGCCCAGAGGAGGAGGTTAGGAGAGAGGAATGGGAACAGCCACTGCTGCATGGATGTGGACATCCTAACATCAAATGATGAGGAGAAGATCCTGAATGTCAGTGCTACCACACACTTCAGCTACAGCATGAATAGAGCAGTGACATGGATGTCAAGCATTCAAAGCCTGGTGGACACGATGGAACAAGCCCTGGCATGAAAACTACGAGGCTGGTTCACAAGGGTATACAAAGAGTAACTGTGCTACAGACAACACAGTTACACAGGTATTAGGTTGGCGTGAGCAGAACGAGACTTATGCTATTCTTCTGTACATCAGAATTCATCAAACTGGGATATTTTCAGAATCATAAGGATAAAAGCTATAGGCAAACAAACGCCACTTGACTACAGAGGAAATAACATTGCACCAGCCATCAGCTTTCTAATTACACACTGTGAACATCCTATCCTCCCTTCCTGATGAATGAATCAGTCTCTTTTCCTATCTATCAGGTCTATATATGACTATCAGGTCAAATTTCATGGAAACTGAAGACTTCTTGGGTGAGGGACAATGTCTTCCTTCTCTCTGCTAAGCCCCAGGTGCATGTAGGGAGCCACATGCACTCCTGTTTTGAAGCAAACTTCATGAATACGGGAAGTATCAGCCACAGGCCATAAAGAGAAAGTCCAACTCCTCCTTTCATGAAAAAACTCTGGATTTCAGAAGTCAGTTAGGGCAAAAACATTCATAAACATGAAAACAAAACCAGTGCTCTGGTAATATGGATGAAAAGGTCAGTCTCTGCAGTGGGAAAGAGAAGGCTTTGGGGAGACCTTTTAACAGTCTTCTGCTACCTAAAGGGGCTACAACAGGGACTTTTTACAAGGGCATGTAGTGACAGGACAAGGGGAATGGCTTCAAACAGAAAGAGGGGAGATTGAGATTTGATATTAAGAAGAAATTCTTCCCTGTGAGGGTGCTGAGGCGCTGGCACAGGGTGCCCAGAGAAGCTGTGGCTGCCCCATCCCTGGCAGTGTTCAAGGCCAGGTTGGACACAGGGGCTTGGAGCAACCTGCTCTAGTGGAAGGTGTCCCTGCCCATGGCAGGGGGTTGGAACTGGATGATCTTAAGGTCCTTTACAACCCAAACCATTCTATGGTTCTATGATTCCATGAAAATCAGACTTGGGCTGACCAGTGATAGACTGGAAAACAGAAGAAAACAATCCACATTGATGGGAAAAAACAGAATATTCAGACAATGTTAAAGGCAGTTGTACTTTTCAACTGTGTGCAGGTCTATTGACCCTGTACAGCCAGCATCTGGTATATCATGTCATACAAGGATTACCAGTTCATTACAGCCAAAGTATAGGTCAATTAGTAGGACTCTTTTGAACATGAGTCCAAACACAATCCATGGTCCAACTCCTTCAGCATCAACGGTCTAAACACATTGCTGGGGAAACGCTGTTCTGTCTCATGTAAGAAACTCCAGGGAGCTGTGTGGGAGGCTGACCTAGAAGAGTCACAGGATCTTGCAAGACTTCCCTGCCACTCAGACCAGTTCTGTTCACTGTGGCAAAATCAAACATGTAGAGCAGCTTGAATTAATTATCTCAAAGAAGAAAGACTGGGGCTAAGAGGGTCCCCAGGAGAAAAGCCAGTATTTCAAACAAAACCCTTTGAAGATGTCAAAGTGCTTCTGATTTATTTATTATGTTCCAGAAGCCTCCTCTCCTCCTGTCTAAAGAAGCAGTAGCTTCAGTTCTTAATTCTCACTAATAAGCATGTTACTGAGATTGTCAGTGGCCACATCAAGGCAATGGCTTTGAAGCTGGCAGGCAGAGCATCTTCATCTCTCAGGCAACACTGCTCAGCCACTGGTGTTTCCAACCACTATTTAAGCACTGGCAATGCGATTGACCACGTTACTGATGAGCTGCACTCCCTCCTTTGAAATGATGGTCTGCCTCCCAGATACCCTCAAAGCACAAGCTCTGAAGCCTTTGCCAGTGTATTTCTCCATCTTGGAGATGCAGGAGAACAACAGTGGAGAGGATTTTGTACCTATTTGTTATGCAGAGAGACAATATTACATCACCTTCATGACAATGGACTCATTTTGCTTGTTAAATCTAAAGTCAACGGCTGTGCTCTGCAGCACCAAGTCCAAGTATTTTACTTAGGAGAGAGCCTGAGGAAGCAGGCAGAGGTCTGAGAATGTGCTGGACATTTCTTGCTGTTAAAGACAGCGAGGAGCCTCTAAGGAAGGCTGTACAGCACATATGTGACGGAGCAGCGTCTAAATAGAAGCAGGTGCACTCTGGTGCTGGGTTACTGACTCCACTTGGCCCAGGAGCCTGCACTCCGGAAATGTTGAGAAGTCTTTAAATCCAATACAATCATTTATGAGGAGATTGACTGCAGCTGGCTATTTCCCTA